TTGCTTGCAATCACCCGCCTATCCCCGCACTGAGCGGCTCCTAATGCCAAAGAAGGCGCCGAGCTGCGCCCGTTAAAATTTATTCCTCTGGCTGCTGAGGTGCAAGCTCAGATAAGACCCAACCATTCCCCTCATGGTTATCACACGCAGGCAGCTCTGCCACCGATGAGAAAAGCAGCGCGATGAGAGGCTCAAATATTCAGAATTTACCTCAAAACTCAGCCTGGCCGTTCCGCTCACACCGGGCTCCAACAGAGCCCTGCAGGATGTGGGGATCTCAGCCATGGGAGAGCTGGGGGGCGCCTGGGGCAGGGAGAAATCAAAGGCTGAGCCCTAAAATATTAAGAAGCCTTTTGTGCTGTTCATCTCACAGCAGAGTTTGTTCCTGTGATCAGCCAGGAGCGAGAACGGATCCCTGTGCATCACACAGCAGCATCCCACAGGCAGTGCTCTTGATTATATCGAAAACTGGACTATAATCCTAAGAAACATCTGTTTTAAAATCCCCTCTGGTGGAGAGAGGGTGGAAATTCACACTGCAAAGTTCAGCTCAACCCACAGCCAAGTTCTGGGGGGCTGCGAGCTCTTGTGCTGACCCACTCAAGGCCACCTCTGCCCACATGGGGACAGAACCAGCGACCGGCTGTAAACTCCTGTATCTTCCCATATTTCAACAAAACAGAAACCTTTTAAAGGCTAAAGATCAGCTTTTATTCACTAGAAATAAAACCAGAGGATTTTTTAAAATGGCTTTTCATACTGAAAAATGAACTGGTTTATGTTGCAGGTTTGGGTTGTTCAGATGATGCCACCAAGGTTCCTCCCCGGCCATTGCCACATCCTTTGCAGCCCCAAACCTGCGCTCTCATCAGCCCCAGACAAACCAGGACAACTTTATTGCCCATGTAAATCAGAGAAACTCCACTGGCTTCCGAGGAGCGTTGCAGATTTATGCCGGGAGCTGACCCGGCATCTCTATTTCCAAAACTAGGGCAGATTGAAATATGCTGGGCTTCAATAATATATTCAGGTTAACAGGGCTTTTATATTTGAGCAATTAATCTTGCATAGACCGAGGCCCTCTTGGGACAACGTGCAAAGGTTGCTAAGAAGAAGAAAACAAACACAGTTGTGTAACTCAGCTCTCCCATGTCTTTTCTTTCACGAGAACACATTGTGGTGCGGTCTATAACCCCGCAGTAATATTACTTTAATAAACAGAAGCACACCGAGTCATGGTACAGAAATGATTTTACTAGGAGGTAGCATTACTTCATCGTGTATTACTGTAAAACGATCCGAAGCAGAAATATTGAGACATAAATCTGTGGTAACAGAGGAAAACCAACACGGGGCTGGAGAAAGCCTTTCCGGTTTACTGCAGGCTGCTCCCTCCCAGGGATGTGATTGCACCCCAGGGGAGGCCTGGACCACGCACACGCATCTCGCTGTGCTGTGCATGGGTTTTTACCCTGTTAAAAAGTCCCAGTTACGCATTACCCCATCTTTCCCCATCCCTCCATGTCTCCACTCATCCCTTCCTTTGCTCTCAAGCCCCAGTAGGATGGATACATGATTCTGGGGCCTGTAATCACCTCTGCTATTTGCTTTCCTCTTTGCATTCGCTCTTCCCCAGTCACACAGCATCATCTCCAGCCTCACAGATTCACCGAGATCTCTGTGATTTGACCCCTGATTTTTAATTCTTCCAGCATATTAGGCTCTAAAACAGCCTGGGAACACAACTGCTACATGCCAAGCAAACCAGCAATGATGGGTTTGTGCTCAAGCCCAAGGAAATAAATACAAGCAGCTAAAAACCATTGACCTACAATGAACAAACCAGAAACCCGCTCGCTTTCTGGCCGAGTTGTCAAAGCCCAGTGAAGGCAACGCTGCCCAGAAACCTGCCCGATGGAAACCATTCGGCCGCACACGTTGCTGCATCGCTGCCCAACAGAAGTTCCCAAAATCACACACAGCACCAGGCTCCGAAAGGACGCGCAGGTGGCCCCCGCTTGATTAATGGGAGCTGCATCTGCTATTCCCAAGTGGCGATTTCGCTGTATAAACACAGCACCGCAACAGCAGCACATTGATTTATGCCGGCTGGAAATCTGTCCCCTCACGCCAGTTTTTTTTCCTTCCTTTCTCCTCCCACACAAAAATAATTTCCTCCCGAGCCCAATAAAGCAGAAGACCTCGTTGGTTCAGTGTTATAACAGCAATACCGCATTCTGCGAGGAACCAGCAATTCTGCCCCTGGCCATGAAATTCAGGTAATGACCCATAACTGAAGTAAATTAGGGTTTAATTTCCCATCCCTTGCAGACAGCTTCCTAATGGAAATTGATTTCTGGCTCTTTTTTTCCTTTTTCATTTAATGTGCTTGTGTAACGTCTTTATTTTAGATTCAGGTGGTTTCCAGTGAGTTTTAGCCAAAAGGCTACTGTGCAGGCGACCACCGAAAGCACCTGGTTAATTAATGGTGTGTTTAATGGTGTGGGGGGGACTGGTGTGGCAGGGACATCAAAGGGCTGGAGCAGCTCTGCTATGGGGACAGCTGAGAGAGTTGGGGTTGTTCAGGCTGGAGAAGAGAAGGCTCCAGGGGGACCTTATAGCGACCTTCCAGGACCTGAAAGGTGCCTATAAGAAATCTGGGGAAGAGCTGTTCACTGGGCCATGGAGTGATAGGACGAGGGCTGATGGTTTTAAACTGGAAAAGGGCAGATTTAGGTTGGATATGAGGAAAAAGCTCTTCCCCATGAGGTGGTCGATCACTGGCACAGGTTGCTCAGGGGCGGTGCAGGCTCCATCCCTGCAAGGCCAGGCTTGATGGGGTCTGAGCAACCTGATCTGGTACCAATGTCCCTGCTCAGTGCAGGGTTGGACTGGAGGAGCTGTAAAGGTCCCTTCCCACCCAGCACTTTCTATGACTACATGATTCTATGATTTTATTCCTTCTGTCACCCATGGACACGCTCAGACAGAGCAGACCACCATCCATGTAAGTCACACGCAAGTCCCACTGTTACACACCTGATCCCTAATGCACATGCTCTTATACAATTACCACCTTCATTTATACTTTAATTTATGTTTTCACAGGCCCTGTGCACCCCCAGACAGGTCAAAGGGGACCTCTCCATCCCATGCAGACCCCTCTGACCGATGACAGGATGCTGGTCCTCAAACCGAGCCGAGAGCCCCCAATGTCCCCTCTCGGTGGTGCCTGGCCCTGCCCTCCCCTCGCTTGCTCAAGCACCACCGAATCCCCTGCAATTCTTGCCAAACGTGGGCTCTCTTGTGTAATCTGCTCCAGCCACCGCCGCACGCACACACACCCCTTTCTCTGCTATTTAGGTAAAACTCAGCCGGCAATTCCTTCACTGTAGAGCAGCGGCATCGGAGATAGAGGCTGGCCTTGGATGTCCAAGCCTTTTTCTTTAAAGGCAGGAAGAGAGGTAAGGGGTTTTTACAGCTTCTACCCCATTAAGTTATAACAGCTGTGAGACAAAATAAGGGTTTATAACGGTGTTGTGTTATTCTCAACCCTCAGTTACCTCTGCGGTCTATCAGGTTATTCTGGCAACTACAAAGGAGTTGGGAGGAGGGGAAAATCTACTTTTCCCATCTGACTTTTCTGAAGTGCTGTGGAGGAACCCGAACTCAGCTGGTGTTGTGTTACAGTTTCAAAGCGGGACTAACTGCTCTTATTTTTCTCGGCGTTCAGTTGATTTTCTGGTTCCGTGGACACTTTAATAGCGCCATAAATTGTCTGGTAAAGGAATCGTTAGTTCGAGATGGTGTCTGGGGTATTTGTTCGTTATTGATGTGTAAATCAGCTCGCGCTGCCGCTGTGCGTTTCTAAAGATAATGCTTTGTAGCATGATGATGATAACAATAACGATTAGCACAGGCTATAGCAAAGTGTTAATTGTGAATTCAAACCCCAAACAGAGCCCAAACTGGCGCCCAGAGGCCCAGGGACATTTCTCTGAGAGAGGGAATTTTCTGTGCCTGCGTTGCTGAAAACCCCATCTTTCCCAAACGCATTTGCTCAGGTGCATCTTGTGCTTCTGCTGATTGCACAAAACTCCTGGCGAATCTTGTGTGTTATCCCCAACGAGCCCTAATTTGGCTTTAATTCCTTAATGGAGCAAAAGGGCGGGTGAATACGGAGACCAAAGGAAGGAGGACAGAAAACCCAGATGTTCTCCTTCTCACAGCTGCCTGGTGTGGGAGCTTAACGTAATTAGTAAAGTAAAGGTTCCTTCCTCTTGTGCAAGAGGAACACAAATTAAGAAACTACTTTTGTGCCTCAGCGTTGCTGCTTACAGAGGTGAGAATCCACTTCTGCCTGCCAGGGCTACAGGGAGGATTAAACAAGGTTCATTGAGCACTTAAAATGTGCTGTGAGGGTGTCATCTTGTTAGAGACCTCATTTAAAGCAAAAATCCATGGTCTTGTTAGAGACCTCGTTTAAAATCAAAATCCACGGTGAAATCCTGGATGAAGTCAGGATGGATGGCGGTTCCTGGGCATGATCTGTCTGGGTTTTCCTATTCAGAACAGCACGCAGAGGAGCGGTAACAGCTTCGTGAACGTACATTAAAGTTTGTGTGCTGACTCGGGCATTGGGAGGAGGAACGATAAAAGTAACTGCAGTCTTCTAAGAATAAAACCACCTCAGCTGAACCCTGCCCCGCGAGCATTGTAAGAGGCCATGAAATAGCAGAAGGGAGCCACTTTGCTGGGTAGATCAAGGGGAAAAATGTAACCGCGACCCCTGTTTCAGAGATGGGGAGATGGGCAGAGGGGAGGCAGCAGCAGGGTTGAACACAACTTTAAATAAATACCTTCTGCCTTAGAGACTGAAGTGCAATATGGGCAAGCAGAGAAAAAGCTTGAAAGATCAAAGTAGGGAAAAATGTCCTTTTAAAGTGATAATTATTGTTGTTTACGGCAGGTAAAAGGCTACTGCAAGCCACCGAGGAAGGATGTGGGCTTATACTGTGGGCTTTACCGTCCTGCCTCACGTTGGAAGTTTCCTTGGCTGGTTCATTAATCGCAAGGTATCCCCTGTGTGGTATGAGAAGCTGAAAAAACCCTCGTGGTGTCCACCCCGAAAAATGTTCACTGTTGCTTGGACCGTCCTGTACACCGGCATGGGGTAAGTCCTGCAGACATTTCGAACTCTTCCATTTGCTTTTGGGCTATCCCTTGCACCTCAGTCAGCAGGAGATGTCAGGTAGGCTTATTCTCAGTAGATGAAGCACAGCCCGAGCCAAATTCTGGGCTGAGTTCCCCAAATTCACGCTGCGGGCGATGCTTTTGGCCAGGGACATGGCCCACACTTGGCTTTCTAAAGATACCAAAACCAGCCGCTGCCCCACGCAGGTGTGAGACAGGCGATGGGTTTGGGAGCAGCGAGGGACGCAGATACAGCTCTGTGTAAATCCCTGTTGTGAAACAGTCTTACAGGAAAGGGGTTGGTCTCATTAGGGGTTTGCTCACTGCAGGATGCTGATGGTTTCCCTCTTCCAGCTACGCCTCCTACCTGATATGGAACGACCTGGGTGGCTGCAGCAGCAAAGCCATCGTCCCGCTTGGCCTCTACGGGGCTCAACTGGCCTTGAACTGGGCTTGGCCTCCCCTCTTCTTCGGTGCCCGCAACCTGAAGATGGTAACGTATCCGGCCAGCCATTGCTCTGCTGCAGGCTTGTTTGCTGCTGTCCCTGCCAGGGGTTTTGGGGCTGTTAGGAGCTTTTCTAACCAGCATTATGCAATTGTAAAGAGAGCTGCAAGGAGAGCTTTTTGCTCAGATATTTGCACCTGGTTCTAGACAATGGTATCAGGCCCTTCCACCCCTCATCCTGCTCTTACCATGCCGATAGCCAGCCCCAGAAAAGCAGGGTGGGAGATGGGGCAGTCAATAGCCCAGCTGCTGCATCCCCCTGTTAAGGGCTTGGGGTGAGAGATAAGCCCTCCTGGGAGTCACACCCTGCACCCTGATGCAAAGTTAGCATCCTTGAGGGTTATATGAGCTGTGGGGGGGTTAAATGAGCTATAACGGGGTTATATGAGCTGTGGGGGGGGTTATATGAGCTATAAGGGGGTTATATTAGCTGTGGGGGGTCATATTAGCTGTGCATGGCTTATCGAGCAAATACAACACGCTGTGCATTGCAGAGCCTGCAGGGAGGATGTGCACAGGGGTAAGGCACAAGGGGTGGACTTGTGCTATATTCAAAAAGTGCCTACCTCAGGTGATGGAGGTGCAGAGTGGGATTCATGTTTCCATCTGAGTTTTGTCACTCTGTGGATGAAAGGTACATTTAGAAAGTCTGTGAGGTGATAACAGCCATCAGTGCTAACACAAGCGTGTTTCTGATCTGTCTGCACAGGCGTTAGCAGCCTAACAGTGTATTAATTGGCAGAACTTGATAATTAACAAAACAATTTAACATCAGTCTTGGCTCCTGGTGTGATACGTTCAGATCTCCCTGATCAGAGCTCAGAGCCAAGGGTTTAGGATCATTCCTGGTGACTTCTCAGTGCTAAGCATCCCCCATCCCAATTCCATCTCACTGCCTTTAGCGGGATGGTTCATAGAGGAGCTGGGGGAGGCTGCTGCGTGCTCCCAAAAGTGAGCCCCAGGGTCACTGTCCTCTCTCTGCTGCAGGCCCTGGTTGACATCCTGTGCTTGGACGCCCTGGCCATAGGCACCGTGTGCTCCTGGTACCGCATCAACAAGGTGGCGGTGCTGCTGATGGGGCCCTACCTGGGCTGGTTGGCCATGGCCACCTGCCTCACCATCCGCATCTGGAAGGACAACCCCGAGCAGCAGGCACAGAAGAGTGAATGAGAGCAGGAATTTGGGGAAAGTAAACTGTGCCGATGTGAACCAAGCTCTGAAAATCTGGGGGATTCATTTGGGGCCATGCCTCTTCCTCCACCTTCATCGTGGGTGTGTAAATGAGAGGTTTGCCCCATGCACCCATGTGGTCCTTTAAAGTAACCGTGCATCCCCAAAGTGGGATTTTTCTTTCTGCAGCGCTGCTGAGGTGTAGGAGCTACAGCTGCAGGGTGGCCTCAATGCTATCAGGTCAAACTCCATAGCCAAATGAGTGATCCCAGCGTAATTCACAGCAGCAACTCTGGACACGCGTCAAAACTGCTCCCATTCCCCAGAGAGCAGAACTTGTTCACACAGGTGCTAAATCCCATCGTCTCCTCTTCCAGGACCAAACAAAAATGCCCTTCACTCACGCACACCGATTTTTAGGAACTTACTTGATTATTTTTTTTGCTATTTGTGCTGTTGCTTCATTTTTGTATCTCGCCTGGTTTGTGCTTTATACCATTAAGTTTTTCTCCGGCAGCTACTGAGCGAGCAGCAATCTGTCTTGTTCTGCCAGCGAGAGCAGGCCAGGCACTTTGACTTCTATTTGTGGAGGATCACACTTCTTGGGTTTCACGCTCTGAGATAAAGCAGCAATGATTAGAATGCAAATGCTGCTCCCAAGAGGAAATTTCTCTCTTCCACCTCTGCGTGCTATTTCTCATCCGAAAGAAAAAACTAACATCAGTGCCTTTGACAAAAGAAAAGACTTAAAATGTTATTTTTTTAAGTACAAAACACAAGAGACTTTGTAAAATTTAAGAGCTTGCTCACGCTGCCTTGAAGGTTGTAATTGCATGGTTGGCAAAAAGCCCATGCCAAGTCTATCAGGTGCAGCACAGGTATCCCACCCCATCATCTTTCCATTCCTGAATATTATTAACCAGGAAAGGCTAAAACACAAGTATTTCCAGAGAAATGGGACCAAGCTATGCCAGAATCAGACACAAAAAGTGCATGGGCTACCCCTTGTCCATCCTTTATCCTTGCCTTTGATAAATGTGAACTGTAGATGTTGCTGTCTACAGATATTTACTACTATTTTTTAATTGATAGAAGCAATGTACGTGAAGAGAACTGATAGGTGGCTCTTCTTCCTGGCAGCTGGCTGTAAATTAAGGTGGGTGGGTGTACTTGCAAAGGGTGGGGGTAGAAGGGTTTAGCTGGGGATGTAAAATAAATTGTATTTGCTTTTAATAAAACCAAGCCACTTTTGTTTGGAGAATAAATGCATCCGATTTATTCTTGGTTTACTGGTTTGGCGCTAGATTTGCCAAAGCCAAAGGGATCCTGTCTGGAGGCCATGGCTTGTAGAGGCTCCAGGGGGAAGGGGATCTGTAGCAAAGCTCTGCAGGGCTCCAGTACCAGGCTCATTCCTGGGTTAGGGGTAAATGGGATACACGGGTTTCGAGCCTAAAGGTCCCAAAGATTCCTTCAGTTGGGGTCCTTGAACAGCAGAGACACCCTCACTTGTGGATGCATCCCCGTGATGGGCTCCTCCATCCTGCTTCAGCCACGGCTCTGAGGTAAGGGAGGTAATTCTGGGGCTTGGGTCCTTCCCCAGTCACGGCAAGCCCGGTTTGTAGGGATGCTCTCACCAATGGCAGCGCTGGGTGCTCAGTGGGGCCAAGAGAAACAAATACCAGGAGCTGGGAGCAGCTAAAAACTGTCGTACCTTTTAAAATTTGCTCACATATCTTGTTCCAGATGATCCCATCCATTATTTTTCCCTTCCAGCCGAACGCACACAACACAGATCTGCACATCCCAACATCTGCAATCTGCCCCCGGGACAAAGCAACCCGCTTACACCTTTCTTACACCAGAGATCCACATGGCCCTTGGACTGGTCTGGCCCCTGGGTTCACTGGGATAGGATCACAGACCCAGTTTTTCTATCCAGGAAAGCTGCATATGAACAGGCACTGAATAGCAGCGGCTGTAGGCAGCGGTAGGGCTATAAAGCATGAGCACTGCAAGCAGCACTAGAAGGATTGCAAGCTGCTTTAAAAACAACAATCCTATATATTTCAGGGCTTAATATAACCGTATGTTACCACCGAGCTTATTTACAGTGATGCCTCGTCTGTGTCTTCCAGAAAGCCGCACGCCAAAGGACAGGAAGACATAAATTATTTCTTCCTAAAAAGCAGCTAATATCTGGGCTGCAGATTCAATCCAGTGGAGTTAGGAATGATTTAGGGCTCCTGAACGTCATTATGGCCGTTCTTTCCCAGTTAGCATGGCAAAGCCATCTAGTGAAGCCAGGGGAGTAGAGCAAGTCTTCCCAGCGATCTCTGCTTTGGAAAAGGGGAAGGGCATTATTTAAATCACGTTTAGGTTGGTGAGTGACTCTAGATCTGGTTCTAACCTGCAAAGTTTCAACAACATTTCCTAATTAAATCTATGGATACACACTCGATCAGCTTTCATAAATCAATCCTCTTTCTCCTTCTCTCCGTCTTTTTCTGCAGGTAAAACAAATCTGGATTTAAGAGTAATAGATTTTATTATATTTTCACGCATGCCCTCCCCTTTTCCCCCCTGGTGCGACTGCCTGACTCGTTCTTGTCTTCATTTCAGTTCCTCTTCCCTCCAGTCCACCTACAAGTGAACCAACAGCTCCTCTTCGCTATTTGCATTTTCTTGCAGGCAGCAAAAATAGCAAATGTTCCTCCATGCGCTATACATAATAGCTTGAAATCAATTGACAAAGTTAAATGCAGCAAAGCACCCTCTTCTATTAATATTTAAGGCATCATTTAGTGGATTTGCTATTTAAACAGATACGCTAAAGCCCCTTGCATAAAAATAACTTTAATGGCATTCCAGGCAGCCATCTAGAAAATTTCTGGGTTTTATTGTGCAGCGCAGACCAAAATCAGCCCCTGCCCTCTCGAACCGAGAGGGTTCAAGCTGTGACTCGGATAAACACGTGTGTTCATGACAGCTTTTGTAGGGTCGTGGCATTTAGAGAGAAGAGCCACATCAGATCACCACGTCTGGTGATGATCCCTCTCTTCAAACTTCAGCCATTCCTTCCAGAAAGACTTATTTGTTATTAAACTGATCACTGCATCTGATCTCAGCCCAAAGGACACATCCCACGGCTGCTGGATATGCAATGTTTGTGCATTTAAAACCCCCATCTTTCTGCCTTTCAGTCCAGGCTCTTTTCCTAAGCCTTGCCTCACTCAATAATTTACCAACTGTTCCAGAAAACAGCCCGGCTTCTGCAGCAAGGAACTGCGATTGATTTGCTGATGTCTGGATGTTAAAATACAGAGTCAAGCGCTAGAGAGGATTTGCTGCTGCGTGTGGACGCAGGATGGTGCGGAATGGGAACCGCTGTGGCTCTGAGCACCTGCAGCAGGGCCGGGGCTGAGCTTCCCCTGCAGCCGCTCCCGGCAAAACCACAGCAGGAGCCCAGCAGGAGGGAGGTTGTGCTGCTTGGAGCCGTCATTAACTTCCAGTTGGGCTTTGAATTAACTGGTGGTGGCTGCCGGCGGTGCTGGCTCCTTCAACCCGGGTGTGTGAGGGTTGGGGACCACAGGGCATGGAGGTGCAGGCTTTGGATGTGAAAATCAGGCAGAGGAGGAGGTGAGAGCATCGCTTATCACTGCCTGCACTGCAGCTCAATTCAGCTCTAGGATATTTTCCCAGGGAGCCACTAGCCCCTGTCCAGGTCAGACCCAAACCCAACGTTTCCTGCCCCTTCTGCTAAGTTTTGGCAGCAGGAGGAGAGGGACAGGGCAGGGGCTGAGGGGAGGAAAGCTGCCTCTGCACATCACTGTCAGAGCCTTTATTTATTTATCACGTAGCGGTAGTTACAGCTGGAAAAAGCAGGAGGGGGATTGCTGCCAGACAATGTATCTAGGGAGATGTTTTGTTAGTGCCACCAGCTGTCCCCTTGGAATAGAGAGCACGGCTGAGCCATGACTCACGCAGCCAGTGTCTTATTTCACTCTCACATCTATCCAAAAATGTTCCTCCAGCCTGGGAATGCAATAAAAGCCTCCTTTTCCTGGCAAGGACTTTTGCAGCCAGGTCTCTTCTGCTGCCCCTTTGTGATGAGGAAAGGAAAACAGCCATTTAACATCAGGAAAGTCACTCCTGCTGCAATCAGAGGAACAGGGGATGGGTCTGCCTGGGAGACAGGTCAAGGGAATTTAAGAAGTCAATGGATTGTTCAGAGATGCCTCTAAAGTCAGCGCAGACTCTTCTGGATGTGGATGGACGCAGGATCAGACCTGGCTTCTTGTTGCCTTGGTCTTGCCTTGTCAGCAGTCACCTTTGCTACAGAGTCCCCACGCAGCACAGCGCTTCCAATCTCCCTGCAGGTTTGGTGCCTTTGGAGTCTCCTCCTCCCCATTGCTTCACCTGGCTCTGCTCAGCCATCCCGGCCTCCCCGCCCCGACACAGCGAGGCCAGGCCTTTAATATAGAGGGAGACTGCCAGATGTTGCAGGAAGCATCTGTCATGGGACGGAGAACAGGCTCGGGAAGGAAACCTCAGCCTGGGTTTGTGCCATGGGGAAAGGCAAGGGGCTGCTTCTCATCCTCCACAGGCGATCTCCTGTGCCTTTTCTGTGTCCAAACAGCGATTCTGCTGCGCAGGGCTCTCAGAGCAGAACGAAATTCACAGTCAACCAAACAAACCGTGAAATCAGTGGGGAGGGCGGAGGGAAACCTCAATAAAAATGCTGCTTGGCAAGCACATGATTTTAGTTAACCCAAGTGCCATCGGGAGATCCTTACGTGAGATCCCTGGCACCTCTCGGCATCCGCGCCCCGGCTCCGGCTCTGAAGTAGCTGATGGAAAATAACTCCCATGGCTGGCTGCGGTCGTTAGGCCCACGCACACACGCTCCTGGCCACATGCATGGGCTTTTGGGGGAGCTGGGGTCACTGAAAAAACAACCAAACAAAACCGATCAAAGCTTTCATTTCTATGACTAACACAAAACGGCGGATTGACAGCAGCTCGGTGGCGCCCCTTTATATTTTTGGCGCGGGCGGACGCCGCAGGGGGGGTGGTTGGTGCCTATTTCGTGCACTGCCCTAGATGGAGCTGTGAAGCAGCTGGGGAAGGGCTGGACAAGGGGGGGAGTCTCGGTGCCACATTCCCCAGATTAGATTAGAGCTCAGCCCGGAGCCCTGCAGAGGGGCCAGGGAAAGCTGAAGGCTGCAGGAAAGATGGGACCCTCGCGGTGCAGAGCTTCCAAAAATAACGAGAAGTGGGTCAGAGGGAGAGGAATGCTGCTTTGAAGTATGAGGGTAAGGAGGAAACAAGCTGTCACTCATTGAGAGAGGATTCCCATCCCCAAAAACACTGCCCGAAATGTCAAAGGTGAGAGTAATCTGACAGGGGGGTCGGAATCTGAGCGTAGTTACCATGCAAGAGGAAAAACACCACACCTGCCCTCCAGGAAAGTATTTTAAGCTTAAAATAAATGAAGTTGTGCACCGTGAAAATGAAGGATGTGTGTTCCACGGATAGGATGTCTGGGAACTTGTCAAACCCTTGTCACAACGCTCTCTGTGTCAGTCACCAAATAAACAACGTCTCGTTACCAGCAAACAGTGCAGGAGTCACAGAGGTCTGTCCCCAGAACCCCTGTGTTTCGGTGATGGTACCAGTGAAAAGCCATAAAGGACATTGCAGCACTGAAAAGCAGGCTGTGGGTAGCAAGGGGGGCTGAAAGAGTAGGCAGAATAAATTAGGTATTTAAATTAGATATTAGATACCTATTTATTGTCTGGGATAATAAATTATCTGCCCAACTGCATTAATTTATTTCACTTTGCGATGGTGCAGACCCCTCTAAAGTTATAAAGAGCTGACTACAACAGTATCACAAAGACGGAGTTTGGCCTAAAAGCAGGGATTCACACCTCTCTGGCTTCTACAGAACACAGTTTATCTTCCTCAAGGCACGGGCAGGTTTTCCACTAAGTACAGACCGAATCCTCAATCAACTGTGGCTTAATAGTTCATATTTATCCAAATCTTGCTGGATTCTGAAGTAAGTGCAGAAGCCAAGATACCGGAGATTCGATTTCCAATACGCTCTGGCTAAAACACGCGTTCTGCACAGCTCCACATTTTCCATTTGCTTTCGCCGTCATGGCATAGCAGGATTTAGCCTTTGAGAAAACCCTCACTCAGGTTTTCATTAGGCTTGGCTCCCAGGGGATTTCTACAGACTATAAGTGATTTAAATTTAGAGTGAGAAACTCGAAGAACTTCACATAATCCTGAAGAAAAAAGAAAAAGACACAAACCCTCCAACCCAAAGCATAAAACCCTCCTTTAAGAGCTCATGTGGAAGCTACACTGCCCCCGAGTATCCCCCTAAGTTACCACAGCCTCTCCAAGAAATCTGCTTGATACAGCGCCGAGCAAACCAAACATCTCAAAATCATGCCAATAAAATCTTCATAGCCCTTCTCGTGTCTCTTTGTATTAAAGGCAACCTGTACATCCACATTTTTTCAGGAAAACCCCAAGAAGTATCTTCCCAAAATGTCTCCAGTGCCCTGGGCTCACACCAGTCCTAGTTACCACTGCTCAACCACTCACACTTTGCTTCTCATCACACCTCCACCACGGGCTCCAGTGCAATCCCTCATTGAACATCTGCATCCTCTGCATCAGAAAACGAGAAAGAAACAAAGCAACACAGAATACAGCAAGGCTTTTTGAATTTTCAACAGATATTAAAAACACAGAGCCATGGGGAGATGCTCAGCACATGCACTTGGGACTGCCCTGCAGTGGATACCGCCCCACTGTGAATTATGAGGCTGACTTTAAGGTATTTGGGAGAAGGTTCTGGCTTGCATTTACACCAGTACGACCTGACACCAACTTCAACAAGCGAGATTTCCCCCTGTTCAGCTCCTGTTTGCAGGGTCCCTGCATGGACAAGTGGGAGGAAGGAAAGGGAGGTCTCTGAGCCCTCCTGCTGTGATGCTTCAGGTGGCCCGTGAGGCCACATCCACCGATAATAAGGTGGTTTTTTTCAGCAAACCAAATGAAGTTTGTGGGTTTTTTAACTTTCCTCTCTTGCCCGAGCCAAAACAGTGGTCCTTCAAGGTCAGCAATATAATAAACTGGCAAAAGGAGGCAGATGGAAGAGCTGCCAGCTCTGCTTCTTGCCAGCTATCTGTCACACTGCCGGATAAACGGCTACCCTGGCTTCCAGGATTTTCCATCTACTGCTTAACCCGCCCACAGTGAAGTCGTCACTTAATTTGAAATTAAAAGGGGAGCAAGAGGGATTGTTCAAAAGACGCAGAGAAAGCGAGGGAAGGAGGCGACATCTGAGAGCCTCGGGTCATCCTACCCCATCCAGCCTCTGTCATCGCCGCTTTGTGCCATATTTAGCTCCCGACAACTGTGCCTAGCGCAGGATCTCCCAGCTCTGTTTTTCCCCTCCTCCCTCTGCCGTCTCCTCTCCCTTGGAGCTCTCAGAAATCGCTCTTTCTTCTTCCCAGTGGCCAAAACTCAACCTCTCCTCCATACCCAGGAAGATGGCAGAAAAGCAGGAGGAGCCCAGCAACACCCAGAACGGCGAACCTGAGAATGCAGAGGAGGGCGAGGGCAAAAAGAAGAAGGTGAAGCGGGAAGATCTGCCACCCTTTGAAATCGTGACGGGGTAAGAGAGGTTTAGGTATAAATATGAGGGTGTAAGGGGGTGAAGTGGCGATGGCCAAAGGTCTCTGCCTTACATTGGGTAATTAAAGATGGCATCTTCAGCCATTTCTGAGTATTCTTAAATACGGCTTACTATCGTGGGATGTTGTTAAAGGTTTTACTGAGTTTTACAGAGGATGGATTCACACCAGGCAGGCAGATGAACCCGTTTGATGTATACAGCAGCTCTGTTTCCTAGCGCTGACTGATTCCCGTGCAGCGTACGCAGCCCCGCTGCCCGCAGTGGGATCGCTCACCTGACGGTACCGAGATTGGCCCTTGATGAACACTGAATATTGATTTCTTGGTGTGATCAATGGCTCCTGGCTGAAAGTTTCTCTATCTGTGGATCAGGAAAAATACCCCTGCTATGGCTGATTTGCTTTATGGACCTAAGGGACAGATTCTTCAAGAGAGCCAAAAGTCCACATTTTCAAGGGCTCCACACCCACAGCTGGAGCCTGACTTTCAAAAAAGCCGAATTCACAGAAATGCACAAAACAATTGGCAGTTTGCAAGGCAGCAACGCAGTGAGCAGCTCCTTTTGCTCCAGCGAGCCTGGCCTTTGAAAAAGGCAGATATAAGAGATATCCACCAGGAAGCTGAACTCTGTTGGATAGAATTGACAGCCGCAACCAGAAAAACCGCTGTAATCTGCTCTCTCTAAGCATTTCAAAACACTCACTGTAGTGGCAGCGAGATGCCCTGTGCCATTCATCCCTCTCGTCTCCCTTGGCGGTCACCAAGGCAGCGTTCCCAGCGCGTAAACCAAACCCATGATTTCTTCCAGCTGCTTGAACGTAAAGCTCAGGCCAGGCTGTAAAATCCCACTGGGAATCCTTCTGCCTCTGATGTGGTCACCGGTAAGAAAGGTTTTTAAAAAATTGGGGAAAAATTGGCTAATTATTTACCCAAAAAATGGCTAATTACTTACAAATTTTTTCTAATTATTTACAAATGTTCAGCCACTAAAGCCAGTTATGTGAATTATGAGAAAGCCCATAACTGCAACTGTGGAAGCACTTAAATTCAATTACATTGCATTTCAGTTTTAGCCCTTGAATTGGTGGCATTTTGTGACAGACGGCCAAGTTTTCAAGCTGTTGCTCATAGCTCTAAGGAGTCTGGCTTACAAGAAAAATACTGGGAACCTAATTACTCTGTTTGAGAATATTAACTCCTTTTTTTGTCAACATTCAGCTCAACACAGTCCTGGGTAAATATAAGCCCCATCTGTGTACGTTTCCTGACATTTAAATAACCACTTATTTACACTTTCATAGGGTGTAAATGAGGCTCCTTTAGCAGTGACAAATCCCTGGTTCCTCTTGCAGTTGATCATTGCAGGCTTCCTATAATCAATAAGCCCAGCATGAACGTGTTTATTTGTGAATTGCTGTCAAAAAAGCAAGCAAAAGGACACTGTTTCATGGGCTCAATAACCAAAGACCATGGTATAAACAGCTGTTGAACAAATATTTAGAGCTAAAGAATACATCCTGTTATCTTAAAGCATCTTTTAGATAATCCCACATTTTTATTCTCTTATTAGAAGTTCTCATTTTCTTCTCCTACCCAGCTATGCAGTAGCTCTGAGTGTGTATACGTATATATATACACACACCATATCTGTATCATCTATAGCACCTATATCTATAGCACCTATATCTATAGCACCTATATCTATAGCACCTATATCTATAGCACCTATATCTATAGCACCTATATCTATAGCACCTATATCTATAGCACCTATATCTATATCCATCTAACCTTACCTGCAAGTCTTACACTGGATATGATGCCTTTACCAGAGAGGGAAATGGGCAGTAAACTTCTTCACTAATTGTAAGAAAAACCAAGAGCAGAAAAGCAATTAGCTTAGACACTGAAATACCTGACATTTGTCTATTTTAATAGATTGTGAAGCCACATGCGAGATGACAAAATCTTTATGTTAAGCATTTATAGCTTCCAGTATAAGAAATGTGAGAATGGAACTCACATCTCCTGGGCATATTTTGTCGGCGTTGTTTCCTTAATGTTGGAACAACAAAATAATTGGGCAAAATAGAGATAACATTAACCTTTGTGCACCACCCGTCATTCAAACATGGGAAAATGGGCTTGCCAAGAGTCAGTCCTTTACTCAGAAACGCTCTGTTCTAAGCTAGATCCGAGTTTCCCAAGAAGTTGTCGTAATCTTTTGTAGTAGTTGACACAGCTATTGCAGGGATGCGTTTTGATGCTCAATTGTTTGGAAAGAGTTTTAATCTACCCAGATTAACAATGCAATTACAACACTTCACTTTGCCATAAGTTATGAGGGTAAACTGCCAAGCGTGCTGTAATTCAAAAGCGAGATTATGCAGCATTTCAGCACAAATGCAGTCTCGGTGTCCACAGGGTTTGTTCTCACCCATTCCTCCACTGCAGAATCCCTCATTATGAGGCTTCCCAATCACTCACAGGACCCAAGTTAAAGACAAGGAATATGCACATACAGCAAGCACCTTACTCAAATCCGCACTGCACGCAGAGCTGCACAGCAAGGACTCAGCTAAGCCCTGCCAGGACAGAGGTTTACAGCTCACACTTGCACTGCACTGCCCTCCCTGCTCCGGTTTACACGGGATTAAGCAGATTCTTGCTAATGAGCACACACAGCTCCTTGGCTGCCTCTGTGGCCATGGTCAGCAAATTTTCCAAGCTCTCCACCAGCTACTTATAGACTTGGAAAATGCCCTCAGCTTTGTTTATATTCCTCATCGGAAACTTATTAATTAAGCCGATGCATATTCCATGTTGCTAGGAGGACAGATTTAGGCGAACATCCCTGATAATCTTAGACAGACGCCGAGATGATAAGCACTAAAATCCATTAAAAAGCCTGACTAAATACCCCTCTGAGTCAATGCATCCTGGAACAGAGCGCTGCAGTTCATCAAAAGGTACAGACCCAACCTCACCACTGATGTAACCGCTCTGCAGTCAGAGTTAAATCAGGAATAAACCTCCATGTGACTCTGATGCACTGCATTGAAATACCTGATGTTATTTTAAAACAACTTATTGCAGCCTTACAGACTTAGCTCTGAAACAAGGCAATGGGTGGCTGGTGTGAGACCCGACACAGCTGGACTTGAAAGAAATCATTAATTAAAGAACCGTCAAATAATTAACCAAAGAACCATTAATTATCTAGGATATAAAGCAGGAAAAACGCTATTCTCAGAAGGATGCGATTTCTTTGTCTCAAAGAACAAGAGAAAGGAGTTCAGGGAATACGAGGCACTGTGCTAAATCAGAGTCTGATAATGCTCTTTAATAAAATCAGTGCAAGTCTCGCAATGCTTCTTAAGGAAAGGAGATTCACTCCAAGAGGTAACTTTAAGTCACTTAATGTAACAGAGGTCAAAACGCTAAGAAAAGAACGTTAAAGTTGTCTTTCTGGGTAGTTTAGAAATTGTGCAAAGCAGCGCAAGTTTCCCTTATCTAGAACTGTGCAAACTCTCAATGCAAACCAGAGATCCACAGACCAAATCACACCCAAGCAGCATGATTTATTTGCTCATTAATCAAAATTAAAGCCTGTACCCACACTACTGCTTCTCACCCCTCATTAATACACTGCCAGCTAACACAGTAATAGGCTCCCAAACTGGATTTTCTGCTGTTTAAGTCCTGTCTTGTGCAGATCTCATCTGAGCAGAATTGAACAATGCAAGCGTTTAATTATATCGTTTAAGAAGCAGCTGAAAACCCACTTCTAGTTAAATTTCTAAAGCCAAACTCACACTCTAAACTGCCACTGTCATGAATCAATGGTGTGTGAAGAGAATGACGGTGGCCCTTGACTGACAGCACCAGGGGATATTCCCAGTGCAGATGCAATTCTGGGAACAAAACTGTTCCTACTCGTACATCTTGCATTTGGAAGAATAACGACCTCCCTCCCTCAGTACAGAGCACAGCGGTGCCAACCCAGCCGCGTCAACCCTCACGCCATTTGGCTGGTTCAGCGCTCTGATAGTCCAGGGGAAGTCGTTCATCTGGAAAATCTCACTGTTGGGAAATCCAAAACAGAAGAGGGAACCGTAACTCCAGGCCTTTTACTGTGAATCTGGGTCGTAGGCACAACTGGGCCCTGGGTACTACTGTAGTATCATCAAAAATTAAATCAAGAGGGTGTTCTTTTAATGCCTTAACAATCACAAGAGCCAAAAAATGCCACAGGCCTTTGGCAGCGAGAAAACCCCTCGTTGCATTAAGACAGGTACGGAATACACACATAGCAAAGAGAAACGTCTGAAACTTTTAAAGTGGAATTAAACATTGATGGAAAATGGTATTTAAACTTTTAAAATAACACAGCCAGAGCAGCTTGACAATTGCTACAATTGACTGAGCTATGCACATACACAGCACACTATTTCCAATTCTCTTCTAAGCAAAAAGCCATTTGCTTACAGTACAGAATGTAATATGTAAAATGTAATCTTAACAGCCACATGCAGAACCCTCGAGTGCCCTTCCCTGGTCTTTCTGTTCAGCCTTTCCCCTTCCAATCCCTCTGATTGGAGGGGACTACCTCAAGGGAGCTTGTAGAGAGGTGGGTGCTGGGCTCTTCTCCCAGGTGATGGGGGATAGAACAAGGGGAAACGGCACCAAGCTGTGCCAAGGGAGGTTCAGGTCAGAGATAAGGAGGAAGTTCTTTACTGAGAGGGTCGTCAGAAGCTGGAACAGGCTGCCCAGGGAGGTGGTGGAGTCACCATCCCTGGATGTGTTTAAAGAGCGGGTAGACGAGGTACTTAGGGATATGGTTTAGGGGGTAGACAGGAGCGGTTGGACGTGATGATCTCAGAGGGCTTTTCCAACTTAGCGATTCTGTGATTCTGTGTGATTCTGTGATTTGCACAGGACATTGTGCTGTTGGAGCAGTGTCATGCAGGCCTAGCAAAGCCTCGTCCATCGCACTCCATAGGACATCACTCATTTTAAAAGGCATCAGACCCAGCTCTTCATGAGCAGCTCTTACTCCTGACTGCAGCCACCCCACGTTCTCCCTGTGGCCCACACCGGCATTTCCCACATCGCTAAGCGAGCACAACACACCGATTCTGATTCTCTTCGCTCTTTTCCATACCATTCACTCCCGCTGTCCCTGGAGACATCTTAGGAGATGCTGCATCACAAACTGCTCTTTCCTCTCAGCAGAGCGATGCTTTGCCACTTCTCCTGCAGCCTCCTTGCTCTCCCCAATTAAAATTTCCACGAGTCTGAGAATCTCTGCTGACCTTTGCTCAGTGCACCCCCTGGAGAGGCCTGACATTATCATCTGACTATAAATGAGACAGGGATGAATAAGCCACTTACTGTTTTACAAAGATTCATTATTGCCTCGCTGGGAATATCAAGGTTATAGGTCCACCTAAAGCTCAGATGAGAGGAGTACAACACGCCAGAAGATGATTAGTGCGTAATAAATGAAATGTTGTGTTACTACTTGTCGTCGTTCCACCTTGTGCAGGCTTCATTCCCATCTTTTGCAGCACGTAGCAGGTCACAAGGCATGTTGGCTGCAGGATCTTACTCATTTTTCCACCTAACACCCTTCCAGTACTGGTTCCTGTGCTGATTTGCTCCATAGCCACAGGGAGCGATCAGGAAAGCCTGGTACTCCATCAGAAAAGAACAGGTACTACAAGATTGCAGCTTCTTCAGTCAGCAATGCATCAAAAGCTATACACTGCATTTTAAGGGATTAATTTTACCTTCCTTGAATAACAGCAGACTACCTTGTTTGGGTGAAAGACAACTGCAAACACATTACTCACCGCGATGATTCACTTTGGATTATGCTCGTTTAGAAACCCAGGCTGGAAGAGGCGCACAACAAATGAAAAACAAGAAGTATCTGAAGTTTATCAGTAGTGTCAGCTATCAAATTGCAGTAGGTAAAACACTTTTTCATAGCAAAGTTAGATTTGATCTCGGATATTTTATTAAACTAAACTCACTATATAGCCTTACTGCATATTAATATTCAACTGATACTGGAAGAATAAAAGCAGAGCACATAAAAACTGCAAGAGCAGTCACGCTTGTCTCTACTCAGAGGAAATCCAGACTGCAAAAGCACTGGGGGTAAAACATTAATTAGCAAGGCCAGAGTTATCATCCTAACAATTTAGGACTGATTAACATTGCACCAGCACTCTGGAAGAGCTATAGTAACGGCCTAGAAAACAGAACAGTTCAGTCTATGGGTGCATTAAGACTGGGAAAATGCCAACTGCTGTCCCTCCTTACGAGCAGTAAATATCATAGTCTTAAGAAATACACTTCAGAAGCAAGCTCCTCTTCAAATATCTCAATGCAGATACCAGAAATTCCCAGTACTAGTCTGTTAAAATTAAGTGAAAACGATCAGGTAGTAAGAATGGGCCTGGATGCCTCACCCCACAGCAGAACTAGCTGAATATCTTAGGTTTTGATGTGTATTTATCCTATTAAAAGGCACCTCCTTTTAATACATGGAGAAATACAGCTGTAATAGATGCAGCAACTTGGACAAGATCACAGAGGAACTAAACCAGTGCTGTAACCTTTATTGCCTGCTTCTGAGACGCTTCTCCTCTCTCCACAGGGAGCGCCTCCCAGCCATATTTTTCAAATTCCAGTTCAGAAACGTGGAGTACAGCTCCGGCAGGAACAAAACCTTCCTGTGCTATGTTCTGGAGACCCAAGGCAGAGAGTCGGTGACTTCCCGGGGTTACCTGGAAGACGAGCACGCAGCCGCCCACGCAGAAATGGCTTTCTTCAACACCATCTTACCCAAATGCGAATCGAGCCTCCGCTACAACATCACCTGGTACGTCTCCTCCAGTCCCTGCGTGACCTGTGCCGAGCGGATAACCGAGACCCTGAAGAAGAACAAGAACCTGCGCCTGACAATCATGGTCGGGCGGCTCTTCATGTGGGAAGAGCCAGAGATGCAGGCTGCCCTGAAAAACATGAAGTCGGCCGGCTGCAAGCTGAGGATCATGAAGCCTCAAGACTTTGAGTATGTGTGGCAGAACTTTGTGGAACCCGAGGAAGGAGAGGAAGCCAAGGCTTTCGTGCCGTGGGAGGACATTCAAGAGAACTTCCAGTATTACGAGGAAAAGCTGGCTGAGATTTTGCACTGAGGCTTACGTGAGTGAGGATTGCCACTTGGTCACCCATCTCCTTGTTTTAGCTCTACAGATTCCTCAATTCAGGTTGTTAAAAGCATAACCCAGAGCCAATTTCAGTACCTGTGACTCTCATAGGTCCCCAGGTTTGCCTGCACCAGAAGATTGAAAATCCTAGGCAGTAACTTAGCCCTTTGAGGGTAATAACGCTACAGTGGGCTCCTGCACAGCAGGCATGTAAGGGATTTAGAGCTTGTTCTGGTTTGGTTTTTCCTCCTTGGAATAAACACCAGGAACAGAGAATAAAAAGGCAGCAGGGTCACTAAGTGCAACAAGAACACCCCAATGTTCCCTGCATGTGTAATATTCATGACATATGTGGAAACACAGAGGAATAGAAACAGGATTTCCTCCACCAGCCCAAGTCTAGCCCTCTGAAAAAACCAAACCCCAAACACTAAAGGAAATCATCTAACATTGCAAAACTCTTTTTTTTTGTTAGAGGAACTGAAAACACAAGCATTTGAAGTTTCTAACATGTCTCTCTTTCTCCATCCCCAGGACCAATTCAGAACAGCTCCATGAAGAGATGTGACAGTCTTGGACACGTGGGACACTGCAGCTCTCCAAGGCT